GAGAGAGAGAGAGAGAGAGAGAGAGAGAGAGAGAGAGATTGAGATTTAAATAAAGTACTATGTGGCATTGTTGCCCCCACTTAGAGATGAGGAAAAAAGAGCCGTAGAGACTTTCCTAATTGTCACATACCTTGTAAGAGGAGGAAACACCTTCTAACTCCAGATGGATTGGAGGTGAACAGCATTTGGAATGAAAAAGGGTGGCCACATGTGAATGGGCTTATAGTCAAGCTAGAAGTTGTTTTTAGTAGACAGTGTGGCAGGCCCAAAGTTTTGTAATAGCAGGTTTCACCATGCAGATGGTATCTTAAGAATATTTATCTGGTGGCATTACAGAAGAGAGGGGAAGTGAGAAAGGCCAATTAGGAGCCCCTTGCTGTGGTCTGGGCAGGCGGGGACAGTATGACCTTTGTGTCCTTAAGGGCATCCCAGGCTGAAAGGGAGTGAGGAACAATGGAGTAGATTGACTTGAGTCTGCTTTCTTCCTACACTTTTAGAATTTGAGATGAATTGCTGAAGGGCTTCTCTTACTGAATTTTCCTCCAAGGAGTTCCCATTCTAGGAGTCAGAAAATTGAAAGACAAAGAAAAGAGAAAATAAATGAAGAAAACTGGCCCTTAGCATGGAGGAAGAAAGAGGGGGGCTGTGCCAGGCTGTCCAGATCTTTCCTGAATATGTGTCACTTGCTCAGAGACCAAGCAAAAGAGCAGGCCAGACAATCCTGTGAAACCAAGGAGGTTTGGAAGTAGCACTCAAGCCTGAGCCCCAGCTGTGAAGCAGAAATCTATATTTACTGGTGCTGGCCTCCCTATTCCTTATGAGGACACAAAATACTTTTTAAAATCAGAAAAAAGTTAAAAAATAATTATATTTAAAAAGTTACTCTTCTCTATATTACCACAGTTCATAGCAGGAGACTCTAAGAAGTGACTTTGTAGCCATGGGGCAGGTTTCAATGATTTTTTTTTTTTTTTTTTTTTTACAAATAATGAAGCTGTAGTTTGTCTTTATTCGCCCTGGTTTACCTATTCTGTGTTCATTTTCTTCTCTTGGTGGTGTCCTGTTTACTATATTGCATCTCTGCCCCCTGCTACCCCTGGTCTTTCTTCTTTGCAAGTCTGTTTTAAGAAATGAAACCTGAAAATCAGTTACTCTAAAAGGAAAATTACAGATAATATTCAAAATGTATACCAGGTATATTTGCATAATATTTCCATCTTTAACAAATATTTATTGAATGTGTACTGTATACCAGAAATTATTCCAAGTTCTGGTGATCCCACAAGGAAAAATAATTCCTGATTCCTCCTCCTATGAAAGTTTATATTCTTGCTGGAGAAACAAAGACAAGTATACCACCAGAAAATACCAAATAATGAGAAGTGCTGTGAACACAATACAATAATGTGATGGGGAGCAAATGGGTGGCAGAGGGCCAGTGTTATGGCTAGTTAGGAAAACCTCTCTGAAGAAATGTCTTCTGAGCTAAGACTAGTCAGTTTTACCATGGCAAAATCCAGCGGTCTCTGGCCAAGAAGTGTTAAAGCCGCTAAAGCTTTGGGGCTACCACATTTGGGACTACCACACTGTTTACTAAAAGAGAAAAGTAAAGGTGAGGGCCTTGGGGTAGGATCAAGCTTGGAATGTTCCAGAACAGGAGGCAGTAACCTCCCTGAAAGTGGGCAGTGGGGCCTTAATGACAAATGTGGCTGCAAACAGGCAGCCACCAACCAGGTGCTGCAGGGCCTCAAAGACCAAGGTGACACGTTTGATTTAACATGTGCCTTTGGAGGCTGCTAAGCAAAAGAAACATTGATATGATCTAATTTGCATGTTTAAGTGATCACTCTGGTGTCCCTGTAAGAAATGGATTATAGGTGAGGGTGGAAGCAGGGAACCATGTGGGACTGTTGGCATAGTCCAAGCAAGAGACAGAGGTGACTTGGGCTGGGTAATAGTGGGAATTGGATATGGTGTGGAAGCGGGTTCAAAGGTGTGAGGAAGCTGCTAGACTGCTCAGGGCTTCCATCCTTTGCTCTTCATTTTCAACTGAAGTGGATGTTTGTAAGGCATATAAACTAATTTATGTGTTGACAATCAAAATAGTGGAAAAGATTTAGTTAGCATTCTATTTATTGGACTTTGCCATTAAAGAAGAAATTCGGTATTTATAGAATAATATATTACCTTTGGAGCTCTGTGGTTATTGTTAAAACTTAAAATCTCTTTTAAAGAATTATAACATTATTTCAACAGTTTATAATGTTCAAATCCTCTCAAACCAATTATCTAGATATTGTATACTTTCACCAGAATTTTAAAATTTTTATTTTTATTTGTTTTATTTGTAGAATGCATTTTAACACATCATGCATATATGGAGTATTATAATTTCTCATTCTGTAGAATCACACCAGTTGTGTACTCATATATGTACATAGGGTAATAATGTCTGATTCATTCTACCTTTCTTTTTACCCCATCTCCCCTTCCCATACACTCCCCTCTGCCTAATTCAAAGTACCTCTATTCTTCCCAAGAACCGCCCCCCCACCCCATTGTGAATTAGAATCTACATATCAAGAGAAAACTTTCAGTCTTTGGTTTTGGGGGATTCACAGAATTTTTGACTGATCAGAATATTGTTCTCCAACTAAACTAGTTAATTATGTTAACTGATTATCTATAGCGGTAGAAATACATAAAACTTGTTTCTTTGTTCCTTTCTGTTTTTTTTCCCCAAATTTCCTACAAAGACATGAATTACCTTTTAAAATCATAAGTTTTCTAAAAAAGTTCATTATATTTAGAAAGTTGCTACTTTCTATGTTAGTATGGCTTGTGGTGAGAAACTATAACAAATGGCACAGCTATGTGGGACAATTATTAATGTTGCTTTTTTTTTTTTTTAAATAGATTTACCAGAAGCTGCCAGGATGTGTACAGGTGCTTATGGATGCCCTGAGAAAAGACAGGATAGTCTTCCCCAGTGATGAAAAGTAAGCTATGATGAGAAGCTCCACTGTTGCTCCATCTGTAGGGTTCCAGGTTGACTAATATGTAACTTACGGTGATGACAGATCTAAATCCTGTCCTTATTTTCTTAGAATATTGTTCTAGCATTCTTAGATGGGCACTAGGCTTTGGGGTAGGGTTTCTATGAATTTTCAGTATTTGCTATTTCCCTCTTGTATAATCCAATGTCTTCACCAGTACAGTTTTCCCTATGAACTCAGACTTGTATATTTATGACCTATAAGACATTTTAAAGGTCCTCTAGGGTCTAGTCTAACATTTCTTAAGGGGTCTCTGACTTCTAGGCCTCATTCCCCATGTAACCCAAACCCACTTGATATCCATCCTCCTAACCCAACAGCAGATCCAATGAATTTATGAAATTTGAGAATACTTCTAATCAGTGGTGGTCAATTTTGTTTGTATTTTAACACACCTAAGGAACTCTATTGTGCTCAGAGGTAGCACGAAGTCACCCTGGCAGGAATGGATAGGTATCAGAATTTGGGAAGGACTGAGAAACACTGTTTGAGAAAGTCACTGGAGTGGGCATCAGGGCACTGTTTGTGCCGTAGCCTTTTTGGATAACCAAATTAAGAGACTGACCAGGAAGCCAGTCAAAAGCTTGTCAACTGCATGTCCATCCTCTACTATTATGGGAAAAGTAAATTAATTGCCACAAAGAGGTCTCTGGATCTGTGATAGTTTTTATTATTTTGGGGTTTTGAGTTATTTTCTTTTATAGTCTTTTAATTAAAATATTCAGATAATACAAAATAAGGTGGAATAAGGAAAAATACAAGGTCTTCTAACATTGTGCAAATTCAACATCTCAGTGTATTTCTTCAGTATTTCCCAAAGTCAGATAGAAGTAAGTTAAATTAATGAAATATTCAAATTGTTTAAAAGGACATTTTCCTGGAAAAAAAGTTACCCTATGCAATTTTTTTTTAATACAGAAACTGTTATTCTTTGGAAGGAAGGAGATTTCTTATAATTGAAGTTTTAGGTGAACTTTATGTTTTGCTAAAACTTTACCTGAGAAAAGGAGAGATCTCCTTCTTCCTTGTATGTCTTCAAAAAAATATTTGAGTAGTACCTAATATGTGCCAACCATTGTTCTAGATACTGGTGAGCTTATAGCTCTTTAGGTTATTTGGGAAGAGATTGGATAGTGATAGTTTATACATTATCATCATGATTATTATTTTTATTGTGAAATTAGTTCTTTTTATATGTGAGAAAGGAAAAAGGTATTAACTTTGAAAAAAGAAAAGGAGAGATCTCAATGTACAGCTCCTGAACTGAATGCTTTTTTCCCACTTGTCTCAGTGTTAAATTCCTGTCTTCTCCCCTGCTCATCTTACATGGAGAGGATGACAGGACTGTGCCTTTGGAGTGTGGAAAAAAGGTAAACGACAAGCACAGAGCCCACTGAAACTCACTATATGCATTTCTTTTGAAATTCTGCACCCTTAAATAGCCATGATGCCTGGTGGAATAAGGAAAAATACAAGGTCTTCTAAAATTGTGCAAATTTCACACAACAAATTTCAATGTCTTTGGCTACTTAGCTCAAAGGCATGTTTGTGGGCAGAGTTGGGCCCCTCATGTGGGGGTCTGTGGTTCCTAAGTGGAGAGAAGATTCCAGGCTATGTGGGAAGCTCCATGTTTGTGTTAGTCAGCTTTTTGTTGCTCTAATCAAAATATCTGAGAAGAACAATTTAGAGGAGGAAGAGTTTATTCTGGCTCACTGTTTCAGAGGTCTCAGTCCATGGTGAAACACTATGGTGAAAGGGCATGATGGAGGAAAACCCCTCAGCTCCTGGCAGCCAGGAAGGAGAGAGAAGGATCAAGGAGCCAGGGACTGGAGATCTAATCCCCCAGAGCATGCCTCCAGTGACTGCCTGCCTGTAGCTACAACCTACCCACCTACAGTTACCACCTAGGATGGTAGTGTTTTCAAATAATTAAATGGATTATTACAGTTCTCATAGTCTGATCATTTCTCCTCCAAATATTCCTCCATTGGTCTAACATAAGCTCTGGGTGGACATTTCATAGGCAAACCACAAAATGTTGCTTCTACTGTAGTGGCTCTAAAAATAGGGATGCAGTTTTTCCCTTTAAACAAACCTCTCCTGGAGTGGGTCCATAACATTGCCTGTTCCTCTGCAGTGAGGTACAGGCAGAGGAGGATGAGGTTTGATCAGTGTCCTATATTGGCTGTGCAGCCTTCTTTTCCTTAGCTGTAGAGGCAGCTAGCTGGGGACATGGAGAGGCCTCATGTCTCTGAACCAATGAGATAAACTCCCCAAGTTGGTTGTTTCTGAACCTTTTTAGGAAAATCATATAGGGAGCCTATGGCTTTGAACTGTTGGCCTTTGAGTCCCTTTTTTTTTTTTTCTTTTTCTTTCAGCTCTATGAAATTGCACATGATGCCTACAGGCACAAAGAGAGGGTCAAGATGGTTATCTTTCCTCCTGGTTTCCATCACAATTTCCTTCATAAAAGTCCCATACTATTAAAAACCGTGAGGTAAGAACTGCTTTTTAGAATACGTCTATTTTCCTGTAAAAGCAATTAGGACTGCTCTGGCTTACCTGGATCTAAGGAAGGAAGGTGTGGGCTGATCGAGGTTCTTTTTCTGCAGAGATTTCCTGAGTGAGCAGTGGGCTTAGGTCATGAGAGCAGCAGCAATCTTCACTGAGGACTTGGTCCAAATACCACCTTTAATGTATATTTTCCTTATGCAACATTCTACTGGGATGCTTGAATGAGCTGAAACCACTGACACTTCCCCAAGACACTTGTCATCTAAACAAGGAGAATGTAGGGGAGGCATGGAATGTTCTCATTTAGCTCATCATAGTCTACTTTGAAACATGCTGAAACCTCATCACCGTGGAGAATCAGAATTTGGTAAAATTTGGATCTCATCTAAAAATGTATAGTCATCAGACTGGGGACATTTGCTATGGTGGGAACATCTGCACCTGCCCCCAAATTCATATGTCGAAGGTTATGATGTTGGGGGAGGTGACTGAATCATGAGAGTTCAGTCATGAACAGGATTAGTGTCCTTATGAAATAGGCCCAAAGAGCTCTGTACCTCTTCCACTGGGAGGACACAACAGGAAGACCACACCTATGAACAGAAAGTGGTCCCCACTAGACACTGAATGTGCTAGCCCCTTGATTTTGGACTTCTAATTGCCAGAACTATGAGAAATAAATTTCTATTATTTATAAGTTATTCCGTTTATGACATTTTGTTATAGCAGCCTGAATAGACTAAGACATAGTCTTTGGTCTGGACTTAGCAGTATTAAATAAAGGTGCTTTGGGCTGGGGCTGTAGCTCAGTGGTAGAGCACCTGCCTTGTATGTGTGAGGCACTGGGTTTGATCCTCAGTATCACATACAAATAAATAAATAAAGATTTTTTTTTAAAAAATGGTGCTTTACTGTAGTTAAAGAATTTGCTTTTTGTTTAATTCATTTAAATAGCACTATCAAGTTCTAAGCACTTTTCCAATTTTCTGATTAGTTTTGGGTTAAGTCCTTGCAAGCTATCAATCTGCTATAAAGCAATAAGTTTTGGCACTCCTGGAGTCTTCAGTAATTGACACTTTATTTTCAGTCCTAAATACAACCATACATCTTCCATTTCCATTCCCAAAGATACTTAACTATTAGCTAATAAATCAATGAATGCTGTGAAAGTGTTCAAATTCAATAAGAAGCTCTTTTTTTTTTAGAGACATGTTATGATTCAATTTCCATTGGCTTTGTCCACCCCATTCCTAGATTCATTGGACAGGGAGATCTTTAGATCCGAAGGCTCCATGTTCCAGATGTCCCTGGCATATTCCTTAATTGTCCGGTCACTGGAGAATTTCCCAGAGGCAGCTATGTTTTTGAGTACCATCATGTTCCAGGCTTTCTGATTCTGTGAACAAAATATGCGGGTACAGCCTGAGTGCCAGCGAGCTTCATGACAAACATCAGACCAAGCACATTTCATGGAGAAAATGACAGGAGTAAACTAGAATGAATTACAAACACATTGTCTCCACAGTTGACAGATAGGTATGGAATGCACTTTTCTCATATTCAGAGTATACTTCTCTGAGGAACAAAAAAATATTTTTCATTTTAAGAGAAACTATGGGTGTGAATTTTCTAGTTGGTAATTCTTCCTATACTTAAAATGCTTTGGCATGTAAGTTACATACATTTCCCATGCTCTATTTTGAAGGAAGGCACCTCCCTTTAAACTATGGGGCAGGAAGAGACTAACATTCATTGTCTGCAAGATGCCATGTCAAGAGATTTAACATGTGGCTCACAAAGTATGAAAATCTCTGCTCCAGAATGTCAGCTACAAAACAGTGAAAGACTCTGTTGACCCACTTAGCTTCTCTTGTTCTTTCCGAAGTATATGGCCTAGTAGGTTTACACTAAATTCCAAATACCCCATTGGGGTTCCAAAACAGGGTGAAACAAGACACCTTAATAAAAATATAATATCACAATTTTATGATTTTATGTAAAATAATATAAAATGATGTTTAACTTATAGCCTCATGATTTTCCAAAGAACTCTGAAAGTTAACTGAGAGCTACTCAAAGTTGTTAACCATGCATTATAAGCCTTTAAGAGCAAGACTAAAATTACCATCAAACCTTAAGTTACTGCAATTAGTTCAGACTTTTGAAACTTACTATGATAACAAAACTTCCACTGGGAGGACACAACAAGAAGACCACACCTTTCTTCCCTTTCTTCAACTGCTTAAATGCATAGTGAACAGCTTTCCCAGCTAGGTAGGTCAAGTTTACTAAGCCTCAAGAACATAATACTGTTAAGAGTAGAAAACTGCAATTTGCATCACATCCTGGGCTTCTAGATGGTCATCCTTTGGGATTGGACCACACATTTACAGAGGAGATCCTCTGTGTAAAACTGACATTTACATTTGTCCCTGTCCTTGTTCATATTTTCCTTTCCTGCTCTGTTCTACTTACATTTCCCTTTATCTGTCTTTGAATTCGTGATGGCTATATGTGGCTGCTGCCTACAAAGTTCAAGAAGCAGGTAGTGAGCCATGCCGCTTAGCTCTAGTGCGGTCTCACTTGTTCAAAGCTGTTACCAACTTCTCTGATATGTACACTGTTGGGGGATGGGTGTGACTCAAACCAGAAGATAGTGGCCAGAAAGCAGCACAGACCTTGAATAATCCCATTTGAAAACCCCAATAGGATACCTATGATGAGTAGGAACTACCTGTCACCTGTCTTGGAAAAGGAATAGAAAACAAAGTTAGTGATGCAGTCCCAGGAGTCTCGGCACAGAGCTGCCTCTCCTGTATCCATTCCACTGGGAGGACCTGAAATTCTCTAAGTCTCTCTTATCAGACATGATCAACCTTGACACATCCTTACAAAATACACCTAGAGGACTATTTGATAAAGGTGTGCCACTTTGCATGTGAGCCTTATTCAAGTGACTCTAGCTATTATTTTATTTTTCTGTATAATGTAAAAAAAAATTCAAACATAAAAACTCTCTTCCTTCTATACAGTTTTATTCTATTTCTATAGCCCCACTCTAGTAGTTGAGGAGAGGTATTTACTTTGCAATTTTCAAAGAATGGGGTCGGGGGTCAGTTCTTATTCCAATAAACTAAGGCTCAACCTTAGAATCATCTTGGCAGGCTTTCCAAATACTAATGGTGGATACCACACACTGCTGGGTCAGAATCTCTGGTGAGGCAGCAGAGGGCAGCAGTGTTAGGGGGGGCATATCCATACTTTATAATAGCGGTCTTGGTGATTGTGATGTACACCTCTGGTGAAGAATTCTGCAGTGCAGGTTGCTTGAGGGAAGCTGGGCGGGACCCTTTCTTGTCCGTGCTATGCTCTCAGTGCCAACCATGGTGCCAGTCATGAAGACCCCAAGTGCCTCTCTAAGGATTTATATCCTGAACTTTCAGAATGTGCCTGCTACCTGCTGCTATATGCTCAATAAATGTGATTTTTACTTGGGTATTAAAAAATTTTACAATTATTACTGAAATCTTGAATCCCGACCTCTATCTAACCTTATGAAAAGTTAAGTTTTGATCTGAACAACCTGAATAGTTACCTCATTTCATTTTTCTCTTGTGGTGCTGGGGATCAAACCCAAGGCCTTCCTTATATATGTTAGGCATATACTCTACCACTGAGGCATACCCCAAACCCCACCTATTTGTGATTGATTAGGGGGGCCCTGATATTTAGATTTACTGAAACAAAAAGTTTAATCATACTAAACTGGGTTCTTTCACAAATCTCCACAAAACTTACTCACCATGTACAGCTGACTGACTTTTTCTTGACATTTGACATAGGCTTCATAGTCTGCAAAGACTTTAAATCTGTGTTTTTTTGGGGGGGTGGTTAAAAGGAAAAAACAAAACAACAGAAAGCTTCATTAACAGATGCAAGCTAAGATTCTACTTAAAATTCTCTTTTGCTTAATGTCAGGCATGGCTGGTTTACCTGTTCATAAGAATGTTTGCCAGCCCTCAACATTTTTATGGTTCTTCCCACATTTAAATATATCAAAATATGTATGTTAGAAAGTTGACTATATCAGTGGAAGACGAAAAAGTATGCCAGGTTTGAGGGTCTTATTCTTAAATCTTAGTAATACCATTGGTGAAGACTCTTCCCATCCTCCCACCCCCAAGCTTAGTTAGCTGATCAGATCACAGACCTAAGCTAATCTATATGAATGGGCTGTAGTTAAAGAAGTTCTCTTCCCATTTCACAGCCTAAATCATAACATCTTCTTATAGGAACTCACCTGTCATGATAAAACAGCATATTGACGATATCTTTGAAGAGGTCGGGTTGCTTAGGAGAAAAGAACCCATTATCAATTTGATCGATGGCCAGCTGAAGCTCTGGAAGTGCCTCGTAGTATTCTTTTGCCTCGTATCTGTGGGGGAGGAATGGGTGGTGATGACAAAAAGACTGTTAGTGTGTGCGGTTAACCACACAGTAGACACTGCAGTAGCTATAAAAATGCACTAATTGTGGCATATTTGAAATCCACCATTCTGATTAATGCATTCCATATAAAGTTTTAATTAAAAATGCATTCAGATATACTAGCATTTACAGAAGTCATCATAGATTTCAACATGAGTACAAATAATTTCTTTTCTAGATCCTGAAGGTTTTTTCCCTTCTAAATTTGATTCAATCCTGTAACCAAAGACACTAAGAACAGTAGATAATGAAAACTCTAGGCACACAGCAGTAGTCTTATCTGATAGAATGTGGCAAGGTTCATTTCAAAGCAGACTTTATGACTCAAAACAAGCCTTGTCTTACAGGAACCAGTTGCTTTTTGGATCCACAGATTCTTCAAATTTGTTGCTACTGAGTGAAATTTACTTCTAAGTCAGGAAGTATATTCAATACCCTCCAAATTTTGTGACCCCTAGAGGTCCTTTGGACATTGCTCTTCATTTCTTGCTTGAACTCAGGTTGAAAAACACAGTTAGGTAGTAAGTGACAACAAATATTCCTGAGTACTTCTGTATATTCCTATCCTCTACCATGTTTTGGTTCATCTCTTTGAGATCTTAGGGAAGTACTAGATAGTGATTTAAATTTTAGTTAAAAAATTACAACTAGATACGGTTCATCTTTTGGTTAATGTTAAAAATCACAATGCAAATTAAAATTACACTGAGATTCCATCTCACTCCAGTTAGGATGGCATTTACCAAGAATACAAGTAACAGGGCTGGGGATGTGGCTCAAGCGGTAGTGCGCACGCCTGGCATGCGTGCGGCCCGGGTTCGATCCTCAGCACCACATACAAACAAAGATGTTGTGTTCGCCAAAAACTAAAAAAATAAATATTAAAAAACTCTTTCTTTCTCTCTCTCTCTCTCTCTCACACACTCTCTCTTAAAAAAAAAGAATAATACAAGTATCAAGAGGTGAACAGAGAACCTACATTTTGGGGGCAAATTTTTACCACACGCACATCAGATATAGCATTAATCTCTATGATATATAAATAACTCAAAAAACTTAACATCAAAAAAACCCCCAATCCATAAATGGGCTAAAGAGCTGAAGAGACACTTCTCAGAAGAAGATATACAATCAATCAAGAAATATTTGAAAAAATGTTCAACATCTCTAGTAATTAGAGAAATGCAAATCAAAACTACTCTTAAGATTCCATCTCATGCCAGTCAGAATGGCAGCTTTCAAGAATACAAACAACAGTAAGTATTGGTGAGGATGTAGGGGAAAAGGCACACTCATACCTTGCTGGTGGGACTGCAAATTGGTGCAACCAATCTGGAAAGCAGCATGGAGATTCCTTAGAAAACTTGGAATGGAACCACCATTCGACCCAGCTATCCCACTCCTTGGTTTTTACTCAAAGGACTTAAAATCAGCATACTACACTGATGCAGCCATGTCACTGTTTGTAGCAGCTTAATTCACAATAGCTAAGCTATGTAACCAACCTAGGTGTCCTTCAACAGATGAATGAATAAAGAAAACATGGTACATATACACAACAGAATATTACTCAGCCATGAAGATGAATGAAATTATGGCATTTGCAGGCAAATAGATGGAACTGGAGACTATCATGCTAAGCAAAACAAGCCAAATCCCTGAAACCAAAGGCCAATGTTCCCTCTGATATGAAGATGCTGATTCACAATAGAGGTGGGAGGGATGGGGGGCAGTGGAGGTTCACTGTATTAGACAAGGGGATGCTAGAGGAAGGGAGGGGGAATGGGAATGGGAAAGACAGTAGAATGAATCATATGACATAACTTTTCTATGTTTATATGTGAATACACGACCAGTGTAACTTCACATCATCTACAACCACAAGAATGGGAAGTTGTACTCATGCATGCATGTCAAAATACATTCTACTGTCATGTATAACTAAAAAGAAAAAAAATTAAAAAGTTAAAAATCACAGATATAGAGAACCAAATAGCTCACTGGGGCTGCAATGGCTGGTAACAAACAGAGACTTCTTCACGTACCTGTGCCTAAGCTTCCTTTATTTTTATCTTCTGGATTTTAGACTTATCTGTGGCCCAGGAGGCTCTCCTGACTCCTCAGGGGAGATGTTCTGCTGCCTCATCACATGTGACCCAGCCTCAGTGGGATATGGAAGCCCTCTGAGATCACACACCCTCCTGGGCATCACCTGCCCAACAAAGAGGAGCTGCTCTCTCACCCTTTCTTGTCCAGAGCAGCCACATCATCTATCCTCATGCCGAAGATAAACAGGTTCTCTTCTCCGGCTTCCTCTGCCATTTCCACGTTGGCCCCATCCATAGTCCCAATGGTCAGGGCGCCATTCAGCATGAACTTCATGTTGCCTGTTCCTGAGGCTTCTGTGCCTGCAGTGGAAATCTGCTCTGACAGATCTGTGGCTGGAATGACTGTAAGGGAGACACAGTAGTATCAGTGATACTCTCTCTAGATTTTGTAACTGAATATTTATCTAGCTGTCCTGTTTTGATGATTAATATATGCACAATAGGATAAGCATTCAAAGTGGGGTACAAGGACAGAGTTGCTCTTTCTCCTTGATGCAGCAACCACATTTGTCTACTTTGCCCTTAATTTTTTATTGCTGCATTATAATTATCCATAATAGTGGCATTCATTGTCACATATTCATACATGCACTTTGTCCATTTGTGATGTGTTATATAACTATGTGCTTATAATGCTATTTCTTGGTTTATAAAGTTTGAAGAGTATCTATAGACTTTTTTTAATATTTATTTTTTAGTTTTAGGTGGACACAATATCTTTATGTTATTTTTATGTGGTGCTGAGAATCGAACCCAGTGCCTCACGCATGCTAGGCGAGCACGCTACCACTTGAGCCACATCCGCAGCCCAGTATCTATAGACTTTTGAGCTATAAATGTTGACATTACATTTCTCTTGTCCTCTTTCTCCTTTCTAATATTTGTTCTAGTTTTATTTTTATTTCTTCTGCTTTATTAAATATATTGAAACCTCTCTTTCTTAGTCCATAAAATGCAGAGAGGTCTCTAGACTCCTCTTTTGCAAGCTCAGGTTGGATTGCTGATCTCTTTCTATTTCTCACCTCCCTCCTCCCACTCTCACTGCAGAGAAATCAGCCACTTGCAACTGAGGTGTGCCTGTGGTTAGACACTAAGCCTCTGTTTCTCAGCCTTATTTATACACAAATTAGAGCTGCCTGAATCCCCCATACCTCCCCTTACCACAAAGGTCAGGGCAATTCTCTGCTTTACTGTGAGATTATTTGTGGATTCAATTTATATTTATTTGCAAACCTAGGAACCTAGCTCTTTTCTCTTTAGGCATAGAGCCTTAAGCAATTATCTCAAGGTACCCCAAAACAAAACAAAAAGAAAGAGCTGCCTTTCTATCTTTTTAATCTGGCAAGTAATACACAGCTGGCATTTGTGTGTGGTTGGTGCTTTGCCAGCATGTGATGCAAATAAGCAAAGGTCCCAGAGGCAGAAAAAGGGACAGTGGCTTCCTGCCATCCTGTCCCCATGTGGGAACACTGTGTTTGATCCTACAGTGCCCATCTGAAGCACATCTGAACCTCGTGCTTTGGCAGCCTGATGTCTGCTCTCCTTGTTGTGACATGAACAAGTGACAGCCCTTCTTCCCAAGCAGTGACCAGAGGAATATCTGAAAATTGGATAGTTTGTGTTCTCTTGCAAAACTGGGACTGGGAACTGAAAACCTTTCAAAACTCCATTTGTACAGCACCCTCTGTGCCATGGCAGTCTCCACCTACACCCAGCTCTCCCCAGCTGGAAGGAAAATGCATTTGCATATGTAATCCTGTGATACTGACCCTGGAGACATCAGACTTATTGTTACTTGGGTCACCTTAATAGCTCCTGCCTTATTTTTCCTATGAGTGACACCTTCTCTCCTAAATTACTAGCTCCCTGAGGTCAGCTACCCCATTTCCGGTACTTGCAATCCCTACAATTTGTCCCACCCCCATGGTTTGCAATGAAGGCAGTACCTTTTTCAGCAAGAGACACTCTATAGTTCTCCAAGAAGATGACTTTCAACTTGCTTCCAACCATGGGGTCATTGTTCACCACCTCGGCCACTGAAGTGATCAGCTTTATGATCATTTTGGCCATGTGATATCCTGGAGCAGCCTTAGGGAAGAATGGCAAAGGCATTGACAGGAGTTACAACTGGTGAAGTGGAGAAATGGCAAGAGATAAGAACCCTCAGGTCCCCAAGGAATGCAGTCAGCTTACTTTTCCACCAATTATAACTGTCCTTGGCACAAATAACTTCTTAGGGTCTTTTTTAATGCCTGAAAAAAGATGGAGAGGGGAGTGGAATGGAAGAGAGCTACTTGCAGAGGTGGTGAGAACTACCCCCAGACTGTTGCTTCCACCTCCATGGGATTCCTTGGTAGCTAAAGGGCAGACTCACGGTTGTACATGGTGATCACATGCAAGCAGTTCAAGAGCTGCCGCTTGTATTCATGAATCCTCTTCACCTGGACATCAAACATGGAGGATGGGTTGATCTTCACTTTGTACTCCTTCTCCAGGAACTGAGAGAACTTCAGCTTATTTTCCTGTTGAGACAGTGCATGGGGCAGAGCCCTTCTGACTTAGAAGGTTTGGGTGTCTATTTTTAAAAACTGCAGTGTACACCCTTGAAGGCAGCTCCAGGGCAGTGACCCACCTGGAACCTTACCTGCTTCACGTTGGCGATCTCCCGGAGGAAGACATCATCGCCCAGGAAACCATGCAGCTTCGTCAGCTGGCTCAAGTCTTTCACATAGTCTTCCCCAATTTTCTTTCAGTGTAAAGGAGGATGTGATTTTAATTCAGGGATGGTAATCAAGCCCAAATGAGCAGCTCTGTCAGTATGGGGTGAGGGCCTCTCTTATTGTAAGAGTATAGTTCCTGGACCACACAGTTCATAGAATGGTCTTACTCACTGAAAAGGCTAGAAATTCTCCATGGGAAGAACACTTTTTCTAGTATCTTATATTAGTCACAGTGCTATTGAAGTGTTAAAAATAGGAAATCTACTTAAAGGGATGACCAAGAACCTAGGTTCTGCTAGTTATTTACATGCTCTTTGTTATTCTCTCTTACTAATATACATACTATTTTCCATCTGTGTGTCAGGCTGTTAGTCATGATTAGCTACACAATTTGCAGGGTGTGCTACTGAAGCCAGCCCTGCTGCAGACTGCGTTTGTGAAGTTAAGTGCACGCATATGCCTCTCACTTTCCAGCCAGACCTCCCATCATCTCAGCTCTTCCCATTACCTCTGCAATTAGGTCTGCCAGTCCCAGGTTGCAGAGTAAGAGCCAGCGCCTTGGAGTGATCCCATTGGTTTTATTCTGAAACTTGTCTGGTTCTAGATCACTGAAGTCCTTGAATCTGGAGGTGGAAGAGACAGATCACTGAGTTTGGCTGCAACAGCAGAGTCTTGCATGCTGCATAAAGCTCAGAATCATATTCGAGAAGCTAAGTGTAAGCTTAGAAAGATTACATAAAGGTGAAGGGAGGGGCTAGCAGCAGTTATCGCTGTCATCCTAAATAGAAACTCATTTGCAATTCAAAACAATTACAAGAAAAGTTCCAAATCTAGTCACCTCCATCTGACTTCCTGGCATTGACATATATAACAGGATACTTTTTTGTTGTTTTTGGTTTTTGGCTCCTAAGTCTAGATTTAGGAAGAAGAGGAAGGGATTTTTATTTTTATTTTTTTACTTTTTATATTTTCCTCTTTAAAGAGAAGTGTTCTTTGTATAAAAGAAAGTACTTTTAAACATTTTAAGAGGGCCTTTCCTCATCTGGAAATACAATCTTGCACTTATTAGCATCATTCCATGAACGGTCCATATTAGACCTGCTGCCATGGTAACGGAGGCTCACACTTTTGTCTTCACGATGTCTGAGTGGATCTTAGCCACACCATTCACAGCGTGGCAGCCCACAATGCAGAGATGGGCCATGTTGATCCTTTTGCCTCCTTCCTCTTCTATCAGGGACATCCTTCTCAGACGGTCCATATCTTTAGGAAACAAGGCCACGATTCTCTAGACAAAGGAAGAGAAAGACCATGCTGATCACTCAAGTTTAAGCAACATTGGACTGTTACTGACTTCCCAAGCAAAATCTTTGATGCAGTGAATATAAAACTTCATTCCCACAGAGAGGAGTTGAGATAGCGCTAGGGAGGTGCCACCCTTCCCTCCATTCTAGCCCTTTCAAGATGTTTTAAACACAGCCCCACTCAGACTTGAGTACTTTGATATATTAATGATTGAAAGGTGTTTATACTTCAAGTTTGGGAAAGGAAAACACTGTAACCACCCTTAACATCTTAAGACTTCATTCTCATAAGGGGTTAGAATCTCTGAAAATGACTTACATCCAAGTGCTTCTGATTTATCTCATAAATGATTTGCAAATGTCGAGGAAGCAACCTCTCTACCAGCTCCACTGGCCAGCGCTCCAGGGCTTCTGGGAGCACAGTGTGGTTGGTGTAGGCAAAGGTCTTCTGAGTGATCTCCCAAGCCTGTGGGGAGGGAAGGGTCAGCTGCTTCGTCTGCTCTGCAGGGAGTGCACCTACCTCTCAGGGCCAAGCCCTCCTCAGCTCCTTCCTGCCTGCAACAGGACAGCTCTGAGTGTGTGCTGTCAGACCCCACATGATTCCACTAGGTTCTTGAATGGTCCAGATAATGGGTGCATGATTTTTTGGGAGGGGGGAAAAACTTTATATAAAACTGTAATAGAACTGAATATAACATTCTGATAAATCTTTACTACTATTTTTTCTCTTTTTAAATTAAATGCACAAAGGTTGAAGAGTAAAAACTAAAGGAACACTCTCAGGAAACACAAAGTATGTTTAAAATGCAGACTTCCAAAGCTATGGGGACACTTTCAATTAGCTGTCTTCTGAGGTTAGAGAATTTAATTTCAAATCCTCTTAGACACAAATGTGTCAAACACAACATAATCCTTAATACAGCTACTTCTCTGCCTCCCAAGAAGCATGGGTTGATTTTCTAATCTTATTCTCAGGATGGAGTTAGGTTTGCATCAGGGCAAAATGTACCCTAACCATCAGAAGTTAGCAATAGGAACTTATTCTGAAAAACTGAAAAGAGAGCTTTTTTGGTAGTCCTTCAACCACAGACATTCTGGTTAATAAAGGGGGGAAAAAAAGCCAAGCTATGCAGACCTTAGACCAGGGCAATTTTTCAATATCCACAAAAATCCTCATCAGTTCAGGAATGGCAAGGGCAGGGTGAGTGTCATTCAGTTGGATGGCCACCTGGGTGGGGAAAAGACATCAAGTTGAAGGTGACTGATGGCCCAGGGTCTGGCTGCCTTGTCCTCACACGTCTGGGGAAAGCACTGAAACAAAATGCCCAACTCCTAGGAAACACCAGAAGCATCTTATTCCCAACTTTTTTAGCACTGAGAGAAAAGAGCAAATCTGCTGGAAATCCTGGTCCTTAGCCGACCCTGTCTGCATCCACATACTGAATACTTGCCTGATCTGGAAAGGCGTCAAAAACAGTTCCTGCACTGTCAGTGGAGCCAAACTTGGAGGCTTTGAAGCGTCGGATGACATCTTGCAGGGTTGCCGCCACCACAAAATACTCCTGCTTCAGTCTTAGCTCCTTCCCTTCAAAAAACTTCAAGCCAGAGAGACTGAATGAAAGTGGTTCACATTGTAGATGTGGCTAAAATGTGATTAGAGTCTTCCACCCAGGGCATGTCAAGGTCAAACACTCTGGACAGCTGGTTAAAGATGGCAGGTTGAGCATGTTAGCATTAGCCTTTGCTCTTCCCTGAAACTCAGCAAAGGAAATTAACAAAGGTATTCAGATAAAGGATAAAGAGCCTGTGAGAAACAACAGCAAAGATGTTTTAGAAGTTGAAAAACAGTTGAATGGTAATTGAGACAAAGACCCAAGACAGCCCAATTCTGACTTGGTAGTGGAAGAGTCATAAAACAACTCATTTGATACACCAGAGCCCTCCCCCAAAGCCCAGGAATTGGCAGCATCAAGTGTCTTTGAAAGTAGGAGTGAAGTTGGGGGTAAAGGTTAGTTGAAAGTTTAAGGAACAGCTGGCCTCAGATCACATCTCCTACTCCTGCAGTTAAGCAACTTCCTTTCCCAGCTCAGGCAGAAGTTGGATTTGTATTCTCTGGAGGTGGTAAGACAGGGATCTCTGAACTGGGGCAACAGGTACCGTTGAAGGCAGGGGTCTCAGCCATCTCATACTGACAATGTGGAGAGAGGGGTCAAGTTTATGTACTGAGTTCTGAGACTTTCAGCCTTCTCTCTACCAAACTTCAGAACACAGACAGCCAAGATATTAATTATTAATGTTAATTAATCTGATCAGAAATACATTGTACTTCTCAGCCAAAAGGAAAACTGGAAGGAAATTTTAAAAAATAAACAAACAAACATAAAACCCTGAGAGTGTTTTGGTATCCAGGCAAGTTGTGAATGTGAGGGCAGAGTGAAGATGTTTTCTGATATTCAAGGTCTCAAAAAAATTGACTTCATCCATGCCTTCCCTAGGAGGTACCGGGAGCATATGAATACCAATAAAACAACAACAAAACAAACAACAAACAAACAACAACAACAAAAACAAAAACAAGAAAGACAGGACATACAGGAAATAAAAACCTTAGATAATAGGTGACTACACAGGTGCTCATAATGATAGGGAAGGATCCCAAGACAACAGCAGAATTGCAACCCAGGGAACAGCCATCCTAGAGAGATCCAGAAGATACTGTTCAAAAGACTGGGTAGTGGAATACCTACCATGTTTGGATATATTGAAATTTAAAAAACTGGGGTGGGTTATACAGTAAATTAAAGAAAAGTACTTAGAAAACCAGGCAAGCAAACAAAGCAAAATTATTTACAACAACAACAACAAATGAAACCTTTAAAGGAAAGGCAATAATTATATGAGGACAGTTCTATGCACAGATATCTGCTGGCTGCATTTACAGAGTTAGAATAATGTAAACACTAAGGAGTGCATGGAAATTACATGGACTTGTGTAGAGAGAACCAGGATGGGAACTAGGTGTTTGTGTGGTGGAAGTGTGTATGTGAGAATGTGAGGTCTGTTCTCATCCTTCCGAGTAGGGAGTTAACAAACATTTAAAAAAATGGGGGAAAAAAATCACAAAGTAGAAATCACTCTGTTCTTCAGAAATATGCAGGTAAGAACCTGAAAAAAATCAACTAAAAGCAAAGGGATATATTGCTTCTGGGGAGTGAGAAATGGGAGACTATGTTTTTACAATAAGCTTCATAGAATGGTTCTCCTTAAACTATGTGTAACTTTGACAAAAATTAAAAGTTATTAAGAGAAATGGGAATTTACAGGTAGTAAAATTAGGATTTTTTTTACTTTATTCTTGGTACTTTTTAATATTACTTACATTTATTTATTTTCTAATGGTATATATCATAGTGAAAACTGTAATGAAATACAACATGACAATTTTTTAAAATTTTACATTAAGATGTATGAATGGTACTATGAGAATGTGGGTAATCTGGTAATTCTTTGTCTGAGCTCTGAAAGAGATGAGTAGGAATTTGTCAGATGAACACAGAGGGTCAGAGCATTCCCTGCAGGCAGAGGAAAACAGTGCATACCACCGAGGTGGAAAAGAAGAGGGCAAATAGCCCCGGACAGCTGGGGCCTCACTGTCAGGAGTCACAGGACAGGCAGTCACCCCAGTGAAGAACTTGGGCTGCATACCTAAGACTCTGTACATCCCTTGTACCTGATCAGAAACCTTTAAAGGACTTCAAGCTGGGGACAAATATCTCACTACTGGCAGAATGAGGATGGGCACACTCACTCTGGAAGAGAGACTCAAGAATGGACTAGGGGTACTGCCAGGTTGAGGAGAGGGAATGAGTGTGTTCTTGTGTTAAAGGTCAAAAATTGATTTTATCAATCCATTCTGTAAAACAAAACAAAACACAATCCTGAGAGCTCCTTTTACCCATCAAGTCAACTTTTTACCACACATTAACTTAATATATGTTGTCAATTACTGCAGATGATTATTTCCAGATGAAGCCAGGTTTGGTCCTTATTTGGAGAAGGAGGAGGGATTTGAAGCCCTTTTTGGTTGCACAGTTTTGCAGGCCTGGGTTTGGGAGGTAGTATGGTCCTGTGCTTGGAAGCATTCTTATTTTGACTGTGAAACAGAGCAACCTTTTCTGTATTAGAGATTTACCTGAAGTGTATTGAAATTGCAGCATTTTCCCCAAAGGAAAAATAACATACATGAGTAGGTTCCTGAAAACCACTCCAGCAAATCCATACAATCTTCCTCCCTTCTTAGAGACTGTGGTTTATCACCAGAAGATATCCGGTCTAAGTAGGTTTTACATCTATGTCCCCAAGAACCCTGCTTTCTACCATGTATGCAAAGCAGAGTGCTAATTTGATTGCATCCAAGATTATGTTAAGAAAGAATTGTTATAGCTTCAAGAAAATGATTTTTCTCATCGAGAAATTCAAGTTACATATGTTTGAACCAACTAAGAATTTATAGCAGTCATCTGAGATCCAGTTCCACGTTTTTTTAAAACTAAGTTATTTTTAAAATAAAATTGGAATAATCACTTGTAAGAAAAAGTTTAAAGACATGAGTAAGTGCCAAAAGAAGCACGTGTTTATTCATGAGTCTGTTCCCAGGACCATGACCCCACCAAGCTGGGGGAAAGAAGATCAGGAAGAGCCCCGTCAATGAGGGAAGAGGCCAGGCAGGATATCTTCAGGATTTTTAACTTTGCAAATAAATTTTCTGTCTGAAAAGAAAGTAGTGCTTCACCAGTGAGTCATCATTTTTTTTTTAAATATTCAGGTTCTGTTTTGAAATATATCCACAAAACTCCCCAATTAGAGAAGGGGTCATTAATCAAGGACAAAATACTTATTCTGTTTTTATGAACTGTATGAATTTGTTTTCCTTACTTGTATAGGAGGGGAAAGTTAGGCATTTCAGGAAGAGACATGAAGTCTATTCTGTATGTAAAGAAGAAGAAAAACCAATATTACATATGTATTTTATAGGGTTACTAAATAGGCTCTTTGGTTGCCACAGGATCACTCACATTATCATTGGGGTAGAGCACCCGGGAGATGTTCTCAGCCAAATTTCGGTCCAGCACAGCTTGAATGTAGTCTCCAACATTAACTGAGGGGAATGTCAGAAAAACAATAAATAGACAAGCCAGCCTTGATCTCACTTAATGTCATGCCATGTGTGATTCCTTAGATGCCCAAAAATCCAAAAGGATCTCAGCAACCCTTCATTCTGGGCTTCACGTGAGGTCTGAGGGCCAGACTGAAGGATTGCTTTAAAAACCTCCCTCCCTACTCTCTCCATAAAACTTTTGCTTAGTTGCTGAAGACTTCAGATCAGAAACTCAAGCTCAATTTGGTTCTGACTAGCAACCAAAAAGATTAAACAGAAACCGTACTCACAGTCTCTGAGGTTGAAGTCATTTGGTGCGCGGGCAGACCAGAGGCGCATGGTGTTGACAGTGTTATTCATATACCCAGGCACAGGGGTGTCATAAGGTAGGGCCAGGACCACCTGTGGAAATGAACAGATGCAGCTGCTTATTGTTTCTCAAATATAGGTTAACAATGGACTGAGAGACTGCAATGGAATTCTATTCCTGGCCCTATATTAATTCAAACTGTGTAAGGTATAAACCAAGAAGAGGGTCCCAGGGCTGGATGGGGTAGTAGAGATCATGTGATTCCTCCCCCAACTGGAACATTCAGGTGGATGGTTCTTTGTAGCATTTCTGTGTTGATATTCCATGTGCCCTTGCCCAGATACAGATGCAGGAGAATGCTAACTGTGGTATTAGTATTAGGAAAGGCGTATCTTTCATATTTCTGATCAAGCTGCTGCTCAATAATAATAAACATGCAAGCAGAATGACAAACATGAATCTGTACGTACCCAAAGGTAAAAATTGGGATAAGTTTTGTGCAGGTTACTCATTGACCTGATTGCAAACATGGTGAAAATTAGTGGAGCAGGCATTTCATGAAGACAGAACATTACATATGATATTTAAAATGCTATGCTACATTTTTGAAGTTACATATAGAAGAGTTATTTTAGTGGTTTCTATAGCAATCTGCCAAGTCAGGTGATAATTAGCTGAGTTGGGTCTAAGATGAGAGCTTTGGAAAAATCTCACTCAATCTTTGTGACAGTCATTGTAATAGAGAACAGGAAAATGAACCATGTTTAAATGCATTTTAAATGCATTTAAAATTTATGTGAGAAATGACTCATGTCCAAACCCTGCCTTGTCAGAGTCAAGCTCTGGAAGGAGAATGACAGGATAATTGAACTGGAGAAGGCTAGACATCATTTGGTGCAACCTACTCATTTTGGACACAAAGAGACTAAAGCTGAGAGAGAAACTACTTACCCAAGGTCACAATCAGTGGCAGAGTTGAAACCTAAACACACACTTTTTTACTACTGCCTGTTGAATTATGAATGAATGAAGCATTATGGCCAGTATCAACCAGATATATTCAGTCATGCTTTCACGATCACTGTGGCTTCAAAATTATATATCACCCTTATTTGAATATCATCCACTAAAAAATAAAGGTCTCAGAGGATGTTTAAAGCAAGTTGTGATCAATCAGGAAAATTCACAGAGAGGGACTGAGTCTGGGTTCAGACAAGATTTGTATTTCTGACTCTTGAAATATACCACTTGAATCTCCTTTCAGACAACTTCAGAGAGAACCTGCCCCCTAAGAGGTCACACTGAAACTGTGCACTTTCTCCAGGAAGCTCCAGCATGGCTGAAGCACCAGAGCTGTGACTCTTCTAATGGACAGTTTTTGACTCCAGGCCTCATGGGCCCAGTCAGTTGCTCAGAGTGGCACTAGAGCCTGGAGCTCTTCCTGAGCATCCTGCTTCCTCCTGCTTCTCTTTCACAGCTGGCACCTTGGTCTGAAGACTTCCCATCTCATCCCACTCCTTCCCACTTTACCCATCACAGGAATTCCTCCAATGTATCACTTGTACCTCTAATTCTCTCTGGTCTCCCAGAGGACTCAAACACACACAAGATCGAAATGAACAGCTCAGTTTCCTGGAAGCCACCCCATGCGTGCACTGAGCGTGTCTGGCCTCATACTCTCTGAACTCACTGGCTACCACCACGGGGCTGATCAGGTGATGGTTGTCATCTACGAAGCCTTGCATGACCTAGCTCAGCTCCTTGGTTTAACCTTTGCTCCATAATCTTACTTTTATGGGCACAGAAACACACTCTCTCATTGAATTGTGGGATAGCTTATGAAAATATCTAAAGGTGCTTTGTAAATACAAGTTGTCTCGCAGTGGAACTGATAGTGTAAATAGAATGCTTCCATGATTGATGTGTGAGCCATACATTTTGATAAAAGCCACTGGTGAAGTTTTAGGCACCAAATTCCATAACACAATTACAGTTTCATATTAGATACATTTGTGAAATCTTTAAGTGGATTAATTACTGATTTGTTTGTAGCTCTCTTCTATATATATATATATATATATATATTCAATTGCAACTTAGATTTTGGTCTATTATTTAGCTGAAATGAAAAAACAAAACAAAATAGGACCTTACCTTCAAATAATAGTATTAGTTTATTACCTATACCATTATACTTTTTATTATAGCTCTTAATGTGTCATCTTACATGCTAAATAAATTCATATTCAGACAAGAAACCTTTTTTAAAAAAAGTCTTATTTTTCTGAATTGCAAACAGCTCTATAAGAATTAGTAAAATAAATCATAATTTTAAAAAAATCAGCTATATAATATGATCTTGGCTCTTTTAAGGTAAAATAAAGCATTTACTCATAAAAATAATTCATAAATCAACCAAATTTAGCATTACAATATTGATTTTGACTTCCAGTTTTCATATATAAGAGCACCATTTAGTTGGTCATTACCATTTTCTTCAAGTATTTGAAGAATGATCAGTGGTTGATCTTTTCAGCCTGAGACTTTTTTTCTTTCTTTCTTTCTTTTTTTCTTTTTTTTTTTTTTTTGCAGTGCTGGGGATTGAACCCAGACCTTATGCATTCGAGGCAAGCACTCTACCAAATGAGCTATATCCCCAGCCCCTGAGACCATTTCTTATTAAACAAATATTTCAAGTGATGCTCCATTAATTAGGTGGGGCTGTCCAGTACTTAATAGGGGTTACATCAGCAAGTATGAAGATGACAAAGCACAAACCACCACTGGGGGTGCCATTGTTCAGTGATAGTGCAATAGTCAAATCTAGTGACAGGAAAAGTGCTTGCCCAGCAAGTAAATGCACTTGAATTGATACCAGCATTACTTTTCTAGAAGTGATCTGTCACAGAATAACACAGTACACTTTGCATAGTTTGCATTGTTTTTCTGACTTTTCAATGAATAAGAACTTTGATAATCTTTCGAATAAACCCTGAAGTGTTAAAATATTTATCTTGGAGAAACTGTAAGTAAATGTATATATGGCAGTGGGGTGAGGAATAAATTTATTCCTCTTTGGCCTCAACAACTACTTCATATAAAACTGGAGCACTAAGCAGGATGGATATTACAGAACTGACTGATTTCTGATAAAGCTGATTGCAAAATGACCCTGCTAAATCAATTGACCTTGGAAAAGTTTCTTCTCTCTTGGTGTCACTTCCCTTGTCTCCAAAATGAATGGATAACACTAAGAGAAATAACAGATTTGTTTATAAAAATGCATTCTATCATTCAATACAAAACATACTCCTCTCAATGTCACATGCATATTACAGTGGGTACTTCTTACCACTCTACCTTACACAAAATGTTCATAGCGAGGAGGCCAGAATACCTGAGTGTCAATCCATTTGGTCCCAGTTGGGGTGGTCTCTACTTTTCCATAGAAGTGTACAGGCAGCATGAATTCAGGGCGGGCCTTCTCCCAAGGGTTTCCATGCCTGAGCCAATCATCTGCCTCTTCTATCTGCAAAAAAGAAACTGCTTAGAATTTATTTTTCAAGAGATATGGACCCAGTCCTTCCATTATTTCACAATAAAAATGTCTCCAGCTGAAAGGACTAAAGAATATTGTTTTGGAGAGATTTTGGATTTATCACTCTCAATTCATTTTTGTCTTATATCACAAAACAACAATACTTGCTAGTACTACTCTAAATGTTTCATATGTATTATTGCATTTAAACCTCACAGCAACCCCAAAGGAGGGAACTATGGATCGCCCCTTTAAAGGATGAGGAAAATAATTGCTGGAGGTCACACAGAGACTAAATGGTAGAGCTAAGATTGACTTCAGGTCTGTGTGCTCTAGAGCTTCTGTCTAAATATCTGTGGAGCCAACTATCCAGTTTGAACTAAACAGAGAAGACCTCTAGGGATGTTTACCTTTGGATATATGAACCTGATGGGTCCTGCAAGATTCTCAAGTTTAGAATATACAGAATCAGGAAATGCTACTTAAAGAACAAAATGTTTTATTTTTAAAATAAAGTATTTTTAAAACAGAAACCATTATATTTCATAGAGTTTTTTTTACCTTAATCCTTATGTGATTTTTTAAAATGATACATGTTAAGGTTCATTTTGAAAATGTTATATACTAAGAGGTAAAAATTTATTTTATTGACAATCACAACATTTCCCCAAGTATTTATGCTAATACATAACAAAATATTTCTTATAAAAATTTTAAACTATAGTTTTTATTTAGAGTATCCTGGATAGTGAACAAATTTTGGTTTGTAACAAACATACCAAAGCAAGAACAATAATAACATCAAACACACACACATGCACACAACACACACATGCATTTGGAGAGATACAGTTTTAAGGTAAACTGTGTAAATGAAACTTACGAAATAGTACAAATATATTAAAAAATGGAATTGTGTTCTGGCAAGAAAGAGGTAATTGCCAATAAGATCATGCTGATAGATAACAGATATGAGTGACAGGAGCATGAGGTTAAGGGGAATAGTTCTATAAACTGGGTCCTCTGTGTTGATTCTGACATGCTTTAAAAAAACAAAAGGTGGCAATTTACCTGGAGCCCTGCCTGCCTAGCTTAAGTCAGTAGGATATGCTACATTCCTTAACAAACAACCAGTTATCTGCAGGAGAAGTGCAGGCCTGAAATGCTGATAAGAAGAACATAAGTTACCCTGGAGTGGGGGACTACAGATCAGGTTCCAGAACTCAGAGAGATAAAGGTACCCCCCCACCCCCAACCATAAACTATATAAGAACAAGTTCATTTAGAACAAGTCATCATGGGTCAAAGTGACCTAGAATTGTCATGCACAGTGGGGTCTTGTAAGTCTGATATCATTTTGCTGTCAGTCAAAAATCAGGAGATGGTTCTGTGGGACTCTCTGGAAACTTCCCTGGGACCCCCAATAAAACTGGAGGGCAGAAGGGCATACTGTACTTATCCTCTTTGACAGGACCCACCTTCTCCTTTGAGAGTGTCCCCTTTTCCCTCTTCTATCTCTTCTAATAAGCTCATGCCTGCTTCTCTGAGTGACATGTCTAAAATCTTTTTGGCATGATTGCAAAGACCAATGAGAAAGGACTGCTCTGGCTGCCACAACTCTGTGGCAGGCCCTTGCCCTATAACAATTCCAAATATGGTCATTTTACCTATTTGATTCCTCACTGTCACCTCTTAGACCACTCATCTTTGTTTTAAAAGATATTACTTAGGAAATTATGACACAATGCTGGATACCCCATGATCCCTCCATGTAAAGCCTGACCAGTCACAGTGTAGAGAGAGAAATAAACATAGCCATTGTCTTTTGGGATATGAGGCAAAACATTAATGTCAAGAGCCAGGCAAGTAAATACACATTCACTTTTTTGAAACATAGTTCATGACTTTATATCAAGAAATGATGACACACAGAAAGGGAACTCACAGACAACATCTTCAGGTAGAAGAGCTGGGAGTTTGAAACCTGCTGGACGCAGCTAAGGATAGAAGGAAAAAAAAGCCCAGAAAGGCTGGAGGTAGATTTGGACAAACTGTCAAATCACATCTTGATAGAATGCAGATTCTCAGCAGGTCTGAGAGGGGGTCTGAAATCCAATATTTTAACAAGCTCCTGATGCTGCTGGTCCCTAGTCTATCCAAAGAGCAGCCTGGAGCTACAAGGTGCTACAAAGCTAATAATTAATTCTGTGCTACAGAATCCAAAACTAAACTCCATTATCCCAGTGCTAAAGAGAACAAACAAAAAAAATAAAATAAAATTTTAACAAAGTTTTCTAACTAATGGACTGGACAAGCTTCTTGTCCAGTCCATTAGTTAGAAACTCTCCAATAAGCAGATGACAATATCAACAAAGTAGGGAAACATCTTGGCTTGCAAAATCCTTTATGCTGTAAGGGCAGGTTTGGGGTTATAAAATACTGGTCAATGTGAACACTGCTTCCTGTCACGGAATAGAAAGTAGCCCATTTACCTCATTTCAGCACTCAGGGCTGCTGTGGAAAGCTCCTGAAGGGACTGTGTGAGGCAGGAGGAAGATGAAACAGCAGGTTTTCCTCTGCCAAGTCCTGTGTGTGGGAGAACTGACACCACCTCTTCTGCTGAGAAAGGCATCAGGATCACAGGCTGTGCAGAGGCTGGCTCTGCACGACCCCTGCTGGGCCCACTCCCCTGCAGTTCCTGTGAAGTCCCAGCTATATTTGCTCTTTGAGGAAACACTTTTTTCCCCTCTAATGCAGGGGTTGAATCCACTGGTGCTCTGCTGCTAAGCCACATCCCCAGCCCCTTTTATTTTTATTTTGAGACAGGGTCTTTCTTAGTTGTCCAAGAAAATAAAATAAAACTGGAGGGCAGAAGGACATACTGTACTTATCCTCTTTGACAGGACCCACCCTCTCCCTAAGAAGAAAAGATGGATGTGATCATTGCACTATGAACACCTTTGTAGAAATAGCACAATGAGACCCATTAATCTGTACAATTAGTATGTGTTAATAATTGTAGTAAGATATATAAAAAGAATATTGAGAATATTTCTGGGGAACTCCAAGAATTCCACAATGATAACTGGAAGCTTGCTGGGTAAACTGAACCGTGTGTAACTGACTGGAACTGGCTTGGCGCAGGGTTCTAAGAAGAGAGGGGTTCACAGACACTGTGACTCAACCCTGAGACACACACAGTGAGCACCCTTCCACTGGGAACTGTGGTGTGACTGCTAACTTTTATGTGAGGTTCACCTTCTCCCACCCCACCTCCCAGTGGCCAGTTATTTTTTACTGAAGACTATTTCTAGTAAGGTTCCAGTGATCCCCATTAGAATTCTTGGTAAGTCCAGAATTTTATCAGTGCAACTCTTTTCCTCAGGAGGGTTCACAATGAACAGTTTTGTTCTCCCAGCAAATCTTCTTTGAAGAGACTTAAAAATTAAAAGTCTATCACCCTTCACAGACTTTCCAGCTCAGCCTACTGTGTATCTGCCACTGCAGGGTTCCTGTAAGTGGGTGTGACCATGCTCTTGAAGAGGCAGCAGCTTTTGGGGCAGATTTTTTTGTTTTTAATGGAAATGTGTGTGTGTGTGTGTGTGTGTGTGTGTTTTAATGGAGTGATATATTTATATTTTCACTTAAAAAATTATATCCGGATTGAATTTCAAGTCAGAATTAAAGATGTGGTGATGGCTAGTGAGGCTAGGTTTGGAATATTTGGATTAGCAAAAGCTATTTTGGTCTTTCTCTCCACTTTCTCTAAGGATACTGGAAAATGCATTTCCTTGTTCTGTAGAAAAGGGGATGGTTTCCCAAAATAAAGACCATTTAAAAGGGAGGGTGATTAATAATGACAGACGTTTCATAAAATTTGGCAGGAAAATACACCTGCAGGAGGTGAGGGAGAATTTTGAAATCTATTTGCTGAGTAATGATGTCAGTTTCATTCCACCATCTTTCTTACCTCCTGCCCCATAGCACCTTGGTTTTGCTGAGGCTAGCTTTGAACTCATGATTCCCCTGCCTCAGTCTCCCGAGCTGCTGGGATTTCAGGTGTATGCCACTATGCCCCGAAAGGGCTATATTAATATTTTGTGGAATACCACAATTTATTAAATCATCCTCCTTTTCTTAGACAGAATTAACATTTTATTGAGTGCTTGTTTGTGTGCCAGACATTCTATATATTTTTATACTAATTCTATGAAGTTGGTATCTCCATTTTGCAGATAAAAAAACTGAGGCTTACAGAAGTTAGGTAACATAAAGGAGGCAGCATGACTTATAAAGGTAATGAGTCAGAATTAGGTCTCGAATTAGAAATTGGGGCCCAACCTTTTCTTCTATACCATGTTGGCTCCCAGTTTTTAAGATTTATTTAGAGGTTACTGAAGATATACAACCCTGGTCCTTAGCAAAACTTGGAATTCTGTTTACAATATGTCTTTTATAATATGTTCTAATTATTCTCCTTCTGAGTATTTTTTCATTCTGTCTTCAGGCTGAATCTTTTAGTTCCTTTCTTCCTCAACCCAGAAAGTATCCAGATACTAGGGAAGGGGACTGAGGAAAGTGGTGACCCTTTTTTTCTTCTGGCTTTTGTTAACAGCCTTGGTCCCCCTATCCAATCCCTTAGCACTCTGCCATTGGACTCAGTCTTGCAAGTATGGGGATGCTCAGAGCTCAGTCCTTTTGGAAATACAATCCAGACATTTTTGTCAATGGTGTGCATGTATGAGATGAAGATAAGAAGAGAAAGTAAAAAATCACATTTAGTATCAGGGAAAATTATCCACAGTGGGGCTGATTGTAGATGCAAAGAGCTAACAAAGAGAAAAGAAACAAATACCTAAGAACCTGGCTTGGTTATACAAAAGTAAAACTAAAGTCATCTGGATGGACTTGTGCACATTTCTATGTAACATTATACAAAATAATATGTGCCAGATTTATTTGATGCAACAGTTAATAAGGTTGTCTGATTTCATCTTATTAAAAAAGTCAAGACATTTAGCTTTTTATCTTATAAAAAAGGTGTGTTAAGGAGGGCAAACCTCTGAAGATAGACAATAATACTGAATGTGGACCAGGAAATCTGGGAATACATATGCATATTTTCCAGCTGATGATCTGGGGTAACTTCACTTCTTTAGAGACTAAGTTTTCTCTCCTACAAGATGGAAATATATTTCTTACCATCAAGTGTTACTGGGAGGCTGGGGATGTAGCTCAGTGGTAGAGCATTTGCCTAGCAAGCAGAAGGCCTTGAGTTCAATCCTCAGTACCATAAGCAAATAAACATGCAAAAACTAGAGGAGATTTGTAGTCAAGCAAGCTGCAGAGTGGAATGTCATAAGCTGTAGGTGGTCCACATTCAGGCAGTCAGTGATAAATATTTTCAGAACTCCCTTCTGAGAACCCACTCTCAATGTCAATGTAGCAAACACCAAAGCTCCAACCTGCCCTCAAGAATGATAAAAATAACTCCAATTTGAGGATCTGTCACTATGGGTAGGCACTCATTAAGTGATTCTTTCAGGTTATTTTTCTTAATCATCACAATAACTCTGAGATGGATGAACTATTATTATTCTCAATTTATAGATGATAATTAAGAATCAAAGAGATTAAGGGCTGTGATGGAGTCAGCGAGTAAGAGCAGGCCCTGTGCTAGGTGCTGTGGATCTGATGGTGAGTGACACCCACAGCTCTCTACTTTCAGGGAACTTATATACTAAAGGGGAAGAATGACTGTATTCATTGCTGTCAAAAATACCAGAGAAATTAGTAGAGCTTTATAAAGTATAAAATATCCAGAGCACAAGAAGTCATGAAGTACTTCAATAATAAAATTTAAAATAATTGTTCCCATACCTGCCACCCATCTCGGATCTTCTGGTTGAAGATTCCATATTCATATCGGATGCCATATCCATAGGCCGCAAGTCCCAAGGTTGCCAGGGAGTCCAAGAAGCAGGCTAAGTTAGAGAGTACCACAAAGGACAGAGTAAGCTTAGTGTAAATTTCAAGGCTTTCTCCCCAAAACAGACAGCCTCAGAACAGTTTTCTATGAGAAACCACTTTTATATTTTAAACCACAGAGACTGCTGTACAATGGGTATTGATTTTTTAAAATAACATTTTTTTTCTAATTATAAAAATAACACCATAAAAAAGTTAGAAAATATAAAAATTTATAAAGAGGAAAATAAATATCACCTATTACCTTACCATCTAGAAATAACCACTGTGTATATGCTGGTATTTTGTTTGAGAACAGATAAGGAAGCTACCTACTTGAGACATATAGATTATTGTTACCTACACTGTCCTTTCTAAGGGAAGCTGTTTCTATTGTCCCCCTGCTTAAAAAGATAGCTCCAGGGGAGTATAACCTATACGTGACCCATGTCCTGACTACTAACTAGACCTTTGTGGAGGACTCTTTCTTACTGAATTTCACTGTTGTTGGGATATATATGACCATGTGTTCTAAGAAGTCTGGACTAGGAAATGAACCTTGATTAATTGGCCTAGTAATTTTATTTTCTTCATCAGTGACTGGCATTGGCTTGGGCATACGTTGACACTCAATCCACTGAGTGTTACTAACAAGGTGCAGGGAACTACTATGAAAGATTTTCCTTGCTGCCACCATCTTTTGCTTCATGGTGGGGGTTGGGTGGGGATTTAGAGGGTAGTGTAAAAGAACCACAGAGACCTAGAGTCCTGACATAATCGTGATGTTAAATAAACCCTTCTTCAAATAGCTCAACCTCTGCAGTTCCTGTTCTGTGATAACACACGGCCTTGTTGGTTAGATAATTTTTTTTTTTGCTAGGTTTTCTATTAACTAATGACACAGCATCTGAACCAGAATAGCCAATCATCAGGCAGAATAGGGATTTATCTTGTGGTTGGGTGCAAACTCAGGGGTTTCACTAATCAGATTGTCCCTCTCAGGAATTTGAACTGATGCAGAGAATGAGGAAATGTACAATAGGAATTAAAAACTGAAAAGAGCATTGAAAGCTGTAAAACAAACAGAAAGATGTAAATCAACAGGTTCATAGGTCAACTCTAAAACAGAGATCCATGAATGCCAATGACTGAGGCCTTCAAGTTATTTTAACATGTCCAGCCCCTGTGCCCATGTGGCCTGGCTCTACTCCATTTCTTCTCTCTCTGGGTTATGGCTATATGGCTTTTTCTGGGTCCTGACCAGTTCCTCCTTAGAGCCTGACCACAATGGGGTCCCAACCTTTCCAGTCAGGTAAGAGATGAGATCACGTAATGAGAATTACTCAGCCTCATTTGCTGCTTCACTCTTTGACCTTACCAGTCAGCTGAAAAAGTGAAGTCATTTAAGTTCTCATTGTTAAATGCACTTTCCATTGGCACTGCTGGTCTTCCTACAGCCCAGGAAGCCTAGTAATGCCCTTACAACTTAGGTCACACCACACAAATATGTGAGTTGAGCTGCTGTGAACACAGCAGTGAAATAAAAGAGACAGTTTGGAAACACTTAAGTGCACAGGGAGGATCTGGTTAACTGTGGGGTTTTAAGCAACACCTCACAGGTTTTGAGCAATGTCTGTTTTGTTCAACTTCCTTTCTCTGCTGGAAATTGTCTGGATTCAATTCATCCACAGTGAAAACTCAAGAACAAATTCATTTACGATAGAGCATACTTTGCACTTCTAGGAAGCCTGTCTGCTGCTTTTAAGTGTGGTTGTGCATGGCATCTGAGGAAACATCAATTGGCCAGACAAGATGATACATTCCCAGTGTCACTTACCAGCAAGCCTCCCAAGACCACCATTGCCAAGTCCAGCGTCTTCTTCAATCTCTTCTAACTCCTCCATATCCAATCCAAGCTGACAATGAAAGGAAAATAATACCGGATGTGGATACAAATATAGGCCATTTGGGTCAGGTACCCAGGTGTATTTGTGTACTTGAACCAGTTTCATTTCCCTCACAGCTCATTCTGGCATCAGATGCCCACTGCAGACACTGGCAACTGCAAATGCCAATGGTACGATATGGTACAGCAACATCATGGAGAAGAACATGGACTCTAAATGACCGTCACAGACTCTGCTACTTCCTTACTGGTGACCCTGGGTAAGTTACTAAATCTTTTTATGCATTGCACTCTCTTATTTTAATAAGGTGGGTGATAAAAAAATATATGCCACATTTAGAGTTGTTGAGAATTAAGAGATTATGCAAAACATATTCCTGGACAGATATTTCTCAATAAATGTTAACTATTATTATTATTATTATATGCGTGTGTGTGTGTGTGTGTGTGTGTATGGGGTAGGGTTAAAACCTCAGAAATAGTCCAGTACCAAGCTGACATTTGCTGGACTGTAGGAATTTGAACATGAGCAAAAGGTGCAAGGTAAGACTTTTCAGTATGGACTGAAGATCATCTTCCCATGACCACAGTATATTTACTCAGTAGGGTCAAAAACTGTTAACCCAAATCAGTGAGTCACTGCAATGAGATGACTGGAGGCCCGACAGCCCCCAGGAAAGCCTCAGTCTCGCAGTCCAGGTGGATGGAGATAAAATCTTCTACTTCTTGCTGGAGTAGATAAGAAGCTACTGGAAGTCAAGGAGCATCTGTGAACTTGGAATGAAGGTAACTGGTTGTCCATGGGCTTCCTGCCCCTAAGTGTGAGGAGTCACACAGGCAGAGTCTATTAGCACCACTGTGGGCTCCTGTCAGAGTTCTGCAGCCTTTAGGTCACTGTGGGCTGCTAATTTTACAATGAGGAAATTGATAGCCAGATAAGTTGCAAGACCCATTCTATGTTGACTAGATGATAATCTAACCCAAACTTGGCTAAAGGATGGCCTGTTGTGAAATGAGGATGTTCTTTTCTGAATGTCATTCAATCACGAAATTGGATATTTTTTAAGATGGAAAACTAATTTACTTATTGAGAATACAGGCCTGAGATGTAACTCTGCTTGAAGACAATGCTCCAGTTTTCATGATCTCTACTCTTATATCACAAAGAGCTTTTTCATGTAAACCTTGACCATTAAATCTTATAAGAGTTAAGCATGATTTTGCTTCATTTCACTATTTTGCATTTAATCCCTAGTAACCAGAGCCTACTGGGATCCTTGTGCAATCCAACTGTAAGTGCTAGCACTCAGGATTTTTAAATTCTAAAAATAAAAGTAGGATCTAAACCTTGAGCAAGAAGCTGAGGAGCACTTCATTTCACTTGGTTTTATTTTTTATTTTTTGGTACCAGAGATTAAACCCAGGGGTGCTTAATCAATGAGTTACATCCTCAGCCTTTTTAAATTTTATTTAGAGACATGGTCTCCCTGAGTTGCTTAGGGCCTTGCTGAGTTCCTGAGGTTGGCTTTGAATTTGTGATCCTCCTGTCTCAGCCTCCCAAGCCACTGGAATTATAGTCATGTGCCATGGTGCCCGCCCCAACTGTCAAATTGTGATCAGTTCTTAAAAAGTGGACTCAAGACCAAAGTAAAACTTGCAGTTCACACAGCAGAGACTTTCGAAGGCTTGTTCAGATGCTAATTTCTAAAATGCAATTTTTTGTTTTAAGCAAAGTTATATTATTTTCAGCTAATATTAGGGGAAGTAAGGAAAAGGGAAGTGGAGGAAAATTGCAATGGTTCCTTCACAGGAAATGCTCTAAACCCACACAAAGCCCTCAGTGATAAACAGCTGGTTGCATAGTGTGACAATCCCACCTCAAGGGAAAGGAAGAGTTCAAATAGTCTCTCATTTAGAATTGACTTTGTGAATATAAATTCTTCATTTCCACCACATTGAAAAGGTTAACAACCCTGTTTTTGGTTGAAGCCTGAGGCTCAGGAAACAAACAGTTAAATATATTCATAAAAACAAATTAGTACATTGGGGCTAAGACCTCAGACTTTTCCTTTAGGGAGGAAAGACATTTTACATATCATTAAGCAACAGTAAGACAAAAGGATTTTAAAGCTTATCATTTTCTAAATTGCCTTTATACACTGAAAACTGTCAAACTATGATCAGTTCTTAAAAGCGGACTCAAGACCAAAGTAAAACTTGCAGTTCACATAGCAGAGACTTTCAAAGGCTTGTTCAGATGCTAATTTCTAAAATGTAATTTTTGGAGGAATGCTGTCAAAGACTGATTGCAAAAAAAAAATTCTCATGCTTCATAACTAGTTAGCTAACTTCTTTTTCTGGTCCTTTCTTTTATGACAGAGATCACCAGTAATGTCTGTTTCTTAATAGTTTGTAATGACCATCCCCTCTTTTGATAGTATATGTGCTGTGTTTTCAGAGTTCTTGAAGTGAACTTGAAATTTAAAGGGAGAGGATGAGAGAAATGAGATGGGAACAAAGTACCTGGTAAATGGCCTCATCACAGGCATTTTGCAGGCCAAGGTTGATCATGGTGTTCTGTAATGTCCGGCCCATGTAAAATTCCAGGGAGAGGTAATACACTCTCTAAAATAAAGAAAGGAAAGGTCATGTTTCCACTATTAGGCCAACCATCCAAACACAAGGTCAAATGTTAGGTCACCAAGAAGAAACAAAAGAGGAGGTAGGTCTACTTTAACACAGCTGCGACACATATCAGATCAGATGCCTAAGATTATTCCTGACATTGGTTTGGGAAAACCATTTATACCATTTTAGCAAAGTGTTCAGTATTTTTTATCCCCAGGGAGTGGGGAAAAAGCAAGCTCATTCATCCAACGACTTGGATTTAATGTTTTGTGTTTTCCCCGGTCCTGTTCAAGAATCTTACAAAGAAAGCACACTTTAGACAAAGAGAAGTTAGACTGCCACGACTCAGCACTCCCTTTGAAGGCGAGGGTCAGGTGGACTGGCAAGACGTACAAGGACCAACTCCGTAGACTCTATGGCCAGACAATATTTCTCTCTGGTTATTGCAAGAAATTTTACAATTTTAGAATTAAAACTGCTCTTGAAAGTCTATGAACTGGGAATAGTTCCTTCTGAATAAAAACACCTAAGGTTTATTAGATTTGTTCTTGATGAAATAGGGAATTTCTCTATTGACTTAGAAGCTGTTTTGCTTTTGACATAGTAAAAGCCTGGTAAATAATATCAGAGTCAAAAGTGAGAGGTACAAAGTTCAGATATGCCTAAAGCCTTTTACATACAAACATAGTTTACTAATTAGGAAAAGAAAAAAAAATCCACGAGTGATTTCATTATCCATTTTTACAATATCTTATTCCACTCTCCATTATCAGTTATGTTCTTCTCCATCAGGTATAAAACAACAAAAACCTGTAAATGCACCAATATAAAGTCAACTCAAATTTTAGGTGTTCTCTCATTTCTGTAAGAACCAAAAAAGAAAAGTGTTTGGTCAATCGGAAAATATATAAAATTATCAATAGAGTCCAGGATTATAAATATGTTACATAACAATAAATGACACACATATGAATAAAATATTATTTGAAAATATCAGTTTAGAAGTTTCACTCTTTCATTTTGTGAAACAACTGAATTTTTGTCTTCACATGGGTAGTAAGCATCCCTGCCTTAGTGAGGCCTCTAACACTCGGTCCTCATTTTTTATCCAGGTTGTTTGAATGTCTCTCATGCTGTTATTAAGGCCTCACCAGCCTGTCAGATGCCTTTGTGGGACTGGGAAAAGGCACCTTTCCTGGGCAGACTGAAGCCAAACGGGCAGAGCCCACTCAGACCTCTGGCTGGTGTTCTCACACACAATGCTACGGCTGTTAGGGGAAACTGTATCTCAAGCCACAATGCTCACTTGTGGAATATTAGCACAGACTTTTTTCATTCTTCCGTATGTATTTTCATTATCTCTATAACATAACCACAATATTTTGCCATTTTGTTTAAAGTTATCTATAAAAAGCTTATTAATATATACAGTATGTACGTAATACTTGAAATTGTGAGGTCATCACCCCAGGAATAATGGCTACATTTATATTAAATGTCTTTGCCTTCCTTTTTTAATGATTCCAAGTTAGCATGGACTGAAGATATATTAAAATATATAAAATCTTAAGAATATTCTAAGATATTTCTAGGTCTTCCTTAAAAAAAAAAAAGAGGTTGTTTAAACACAGTAAATGAGAGTCCCTTTTTACATGAGAGATATTATACGGACAGAAATTTTAGATAATTTCCTACTTCTCAAAAATAGTTTTTCTGAACCCCCTCTGAACCTCACCTAATATTTGAGGGAAAAAATACACACACATATATTATATGTATTTTTTATATATTTTATATATATATGACCTTGAAAAATAGATCTCTGTCATCATCAGTTTTTAACATTCTGAGTTTGAAAAAAGAGATTTAGGAAACAATAAGAGAGGTAAATAGGGAGCCTACATCATGGGAACAAATTTTTATTCCTCACACTTCAGATAGAGCCCTAATATCCAGAGTATACAAAGAACTCCAAAAATTAAACAATAAGATAACAAATAACCCAATCAACAAATGGGCCAAGGACCTGAACAGACACTTCTCAGAGGAGGACATACAATCAATCAACAAGTACATGAAAAAATGCTCACCATCTCTAGCAGTCAGAGAAATGCAAATCAAAACCACCCTAAGATACCATCTCACTCAAGTTAGATTGGCAGCCATTATGAAGTCAAACAACAACAAGTGCTGGCGAGGATGTGGGGAAAAGGGTACACTTGTACATTGCTGGTGGGACTGCAAATTGGTGCAGCCAATTTGGAAAGCAGTATGGAGATTTCTTGGAAAGCTGGGAATGGAGCCACCATTTGACCCAGCTATTCCCCTTCTCGGTCTATTCCCTAAAGACCTAAATAGAGCATGCTACAGGGACACTGCTACATCGATGTTCATAGCAGCACAATTCACAATAGCTAGACTGTGGAACCAACCTAGATGCCCTTCAATGGATGAATGGATAAAAAAAATGTGGCATTTATACACAATGGAGTATTACTCTGCATTAAAAAATGACAAAATCATAGAATTTACAGGGAAATGGATGGCATTAGAGCAGATTATGCTAAGTGAAGCTAGCCAATCCCTAAAAAACAAATGCCAAATGTCTTCTTTGATATAAGGAGAGTAACTAAGAACAGAGTAGGGTCGAAGAGCATGAGAAGAAGATTAATATTAAACAGGGATGAGAGGTGGGAGGGAAAGGGAGAGAGAAGGGAAAATACATGGAAATGGAAGGAGACCCTCAGAGTTATACAAAAGTACATACAAGAGGAAGTGAGGGGAAGGGGAAAAATAATACAAGGGGGACAAACGAATGTCAGTAGAGGGGGCAGAGAGAGAAGAGGGGAGGGGAGGGGAGGGGAGGGGGGATAGTAGAGGATAGGAAAGGCAGCAGAATACAACAGACACTAGTATGGCAATATGTAAATCAATGGATGTGTAACTGATGTGATTCTGCAATCTGTATATGGGGTAAAAATGGGAGCTCATAACCCACTTGAATCAAATTGTGAAATATGATATATCAAGAACTATGTAATGTTTTGAACAGCCAACAATAAAAAATTAAAAAAAAAAAAAGACACAGCGGAGAGGTTTGAGGAGGTGAGGGGTGGCTCAGAAAGGAAGCAGCTCTATTCTGCTACCCTCCCTATCCTCCCCCACAACTGACACTAGGATCGCTGTATGTATACACATGGCTGTATAACCAATGTGATCCTACAATTTGTACACGTGGAAAATGAGAATTCATACCCTATTTGAATCAGATGTATGATATGTCAACATCATTGTATTGTCTTGAGCAACTAATAAAAAAAAGAAAGGAAACAGATCTCCCAGGACAGCTCTGGGGATGGAAGAAGCAGAGACTGAAGAACCTCTGGTCTTATCAGAGCTCCCAAAGGAGCAAAAAGCTCCTGCTCTTTCTCATCTTTCAGTCTCTTTGCTCAAGATTTAATGTCAGAAGAACGTGACTGATTTTGCCTGGGTCCGGTGTCTTCCTCTTGGCTGCGGGAGGAGGAAAGGGGGCACATCAGAACTTCCGAATCTCAGCCACTGATCCAGTCTTGAGTGGTGTTTCCAGAAAAAGGTCGATGCTGGGCAGCAAAACGGGCAAGGTTTCCCCACACCATGATGAAGAATTTGGATTAATCCCAAGTGTAGCAGGAAGCCGGAGGTGGGTCTTATATAAAGCAAAGACAGGTTACATCTTTGTAGAGTTTGAATGAATGAATTCTGCTTAAGTCTGTGTCTTTGATTTCTGGGATATGTTCTCATTTATTTTTCTTTTTTTTTTTCTCAAAATAAAGTGTTTTAGAAATAAGAGAAAGCAAAGAATCATTTACAATCTCAGCAGAGAATAAACAGTGAGAAGAAAAATTCTCTTCTGTATTGACTTTATGTCTCCGAATGCCAAATGCTCAGGAATAATCTAGCTCAAAAACGGCGCTTCCACAACTCAGCAGAAACTGGGGCCGCAGCCAACTTACTGGATACATCTTTTCCAAGCAATGAATACAAGATTTTGCTGCCTCTCAACTACTTGACTCTGAGCTGGGAATATTTTCTTACGGCATAAATACCACACAACTGGTAAAACAAAAAACAAAACAAAATGAATTTTATTCTTGAGTATTACTGATCTGAAAATCTGTGTCAACATAGACTCTGGGGTCACAGAAACCTAGTTCCTGGTCCAAGTCAACCACTTAGAAGATATGAGCTTAAATAAGTTAATTAACCTTCCCAGCATTAGTTTCTAAAACTAAATTGGAGATAACAATACCTACACCATACGGTGTTTGTGAGGATTATGTTAGAAAATATGTTAACCATCTAATCCAGTACCTCACTGGGATTCTGCTTGGTTAAGCCCTTGTTTATCTTTGCATTGGAGAATGGTCAGTATTGACTAAATGTACATTGCCATTGTGTTTGCAGTGAGGATGTAGATGGAAATAAATGGTTTCCAAAGGGTTTGGCTTTTAAAACTCTAAAAGATCTATATTCCTTGATTCTCATTCTTACCAATGCTTCCTAGGTCAGGTAATAATAATTGCTACCATTAACTTAGGGCTCATAGTATGCCAGGCACTATTTTAAGTGCTTCATATTTATTAATTCATTTAATCTATGCAACACCATCATGAGGTTCTGTTAGGGTCCATAAACAAGTCAAGATGGTGCCTGGCACTTTGCCAGAGGGAGTGGTTTGTGAAGTAACACCAGCGAGCCATTAAGATAATGGAGATTCCTTAATGACTGACTGCTGTATCTAGTTTATGTCGATTGAGTTAAGCTGTGTGTAATTAAGATGATGAGGATTCCTTGATGACTGATTGATGTATCTAGATGTTAATTGAAACAAGCTGTGAATTCAGTTATGTATATATACCCTTGCTGTCCTACAATAAAGCGGCTCCTGCTGTGTCAACCTACACGAATTCCTTGTCACTCGCCCCCGGTTATTTCGCCCAGCCAGACTGCAGCA